ACTGGTTTAGTCAGTTAATCACTAGTCTGCCTGAACATGATAACTGAACGCTGTTAAAAAGAGAAAATGTTATAATTATTGTTATTAGTGTTTTGCACAGTCACACATTTCCATTCCTTTCTTCCACCCTTCATCATTTTTCCCACATCAGTCACGCCCCATATGCCAAATAATATTTAAATATACAAAAAATGGCCAAAAATATATTTGCTAAAATGTTTCACTATATATATGTAAATATATACTTCTTACCTTACCAGTGTATACTGCCAGTCGAAAGTTTGGGGTCATTAAGATTTTGAATGTTTTTGAAAGAAGTCTCTTCTGCTCATCAAGGCTGAATTGATTTGATCAGAAATACAGTCAAACTGAAATATTATTAGAATGTAAAACAGCTGTTTTCTATGTGAATATCTGTTAAACTGTAATTTATTTCTGAGATCAAAGCTGTATTTTCAGCATCATTACTCCAGTCTTCAGTGTCACATGATCTTCAGAAATCATTCTAATATGCTGATTTATTAATGTTGGAAATAGTTGTGCTGCTTAATATTTTTATGAACATGTGATACTTTTTTCAGGATTCTTTGATGAATAGAAAGTTCAAGAGAACAGCATTTATTCAAAATAGAAATTGTGTGAGACTTTAGACTGGAGTACTGGCTGATGAAACCTCAGTGTTGCATCACAGGAATAAACTGTGATAGTAAAGTTCGTAGACAAACTTTAAGTTGGCTTGAAAAAGCCTAGCCAGAAAGTTTGTAAAAGTTTTTTAAAGTTTGAAGTAGTTTGAAATACTTAAAATAGTTTTAAAGATTAAAGTTTGAATGTTTTGAAGGCAATACAGTCTATCAGAAGAACAGACATAGAAAAACAGATCGCTAGGGTACTCAGGGTGTTTCTAGGGTACCTGGGGTAGTTGCTAAGGTATTGCTATGTGGTTGCTAGGGTACTTGGTAGGGCTGTCAAAAAAAATTCCAATTTCGAATATTCGTCGAATTTAAATTAAAAATCCACATTCGAATGCAAAAACGTTGCATTCGAATTTTAGGTGTAAGTTAAGAACGCAGCCTTATCAGCGGCGCACGAGATGCGAAGACGATGTAAGTGTCGTTGCATTATAATGTTTTTGTTAGACTATCCAGTTGAAGCCACTAGATGCGGCGCTGCTGCGTTGTTGTTTTCGTTTTGCGCAAGCTGCTACAGTTCAATTCCGTGTAACCGAAACACTCGGTTTAGCGGAACCTTTACGATTAATTAACCGTGACATTTTAAAGCGCGGTTAATCGCTGCATCCCTACTCAGGGTAGTTGCTAGGGTGTTACTATGCGGTTGCTAGGCTACCTGGGGTGGTTGCTAGTAGGGCTGCACGATATATCGTTTCAGCATCGATATCGCGATGTGCGCATCTGCGATAGTCACATCGCGGGATGTGCGATGTTTAGTATACTGATTGTTATATTTATACTGATTGTTTTCTTTGAACACACAGACACTGTGTCTACACCGGACGCGACACGCTCCGCACCACAACAGCTAAAGTCTGTCTACACTGGACGCGAAAAGCGACCGTTACAAATCATTTGAACTTTGTGTCAGTTTGTCATAAATAAAACACGGCATCAGTTTACTGTCGGGGATTTGTCGTGTCACACCAAGCCGCATCTATAAAGGGTTCTATAGTATTTTGTCGCGCCACATCGCTCGCGTCCGGTGTACACGGTGAAATCCACGCACATGCACGTGAACACTAAATTCCGTTCACTTCCGTGTCTATATTTGTGCCTGAAATGACACATACGCGCGAAATTGTCAAAATGCATGTCTCTGCAAGTATCCTTGTAAACACAGTTGCTTATGGTTTAGGTGAAGGTAAACTAGTGAGAAAGAAAATGGATGTGTATCACTGTTTATTTCATTTGTATCTTTGTTCTATTATATTTAGGCTATCTATGCTTGTAATTTGTTTGTTTTCTATGCTGATTTACTCGCCTACAAAATCACCCCAATCATTGATTATTTTTTTTCCAAATAGAGCTATTAAAGTCATCTGGTGATTTTTTTTTTTTTTCATATCGCAATACATATCGCAGAAAAACAAAATATCGCAATGTGAGTTTTTTCCAATATCGTGCAGCCCTAGTTGCTAGGATGTTGCTATGCAGTTGCTAAGGTACCCAGGGTCGTTGCTAGGGTGTTGCTATGCGGTTGCTAAGGTACTTTGGGTGGTTGCTAGGGTGCTACTATGTTCAAGTTCAAGTGTATTTGTATAGCGCTTTTCACGATACAAATCGTTTCAAAGCAACTTTACAGAAAATTACGTTTCTAAAATATATTTAGTGGTAGCTTATCAGTGGTGACGTGTCAGTTAATGTACATATGGCAGAAATGTACGGAAAATCAATTAAAGACGTAATCAAACAGACGATGAACACTATGTGGTTGCTATGGTACCCAGGCTGTTGCTAGGGTGTTGCTATGCGGTTGCTACTGTACTCTAGGTGGTTACTAGGGTGTAACTATGCAGTTGCTAGGGTAACTGGGTTGGTTGCTAGGGTGTTGCTATGCGGTTGCTATGGTACCCAGGGTGGTTGCTAAGGTGTTGCTATGCAGTTGCTAAGGTACCCAGGGCCATTGCTAGGGTGTTGCTATGCGGCTGCTAGGGCACCCAGAGTGGTTGCTAGGGTGTTGCTAGGCTATCTGGGGTGGTTGCTAGGGTGTTGCTGTGCGGTTGCTATGGTACCCAGGGTGGTTGCTAAGGTGTTGCTAGGTGGCTGCTTTGGTACCCGGGGTGGTTGCTAAGGTGTTGCTAGGTAGTTGCTAGGCTACCTGGGTGGTTGCTAGGGTGTTGCTATGCGGTTGCTAGGGTACCTGGGTTGGTTGCTAAGGTGTTGCTCTGCGGTTGCTAGGGTTTGCTAGCATGATTTAGATAGATTAGAAATATTAGATAAGAGTGGAAGTTTAAATGGGTTAGAAACATAGACTGTATAAAAACATGGACGTAGTGTCCGTGACGTCACCCGTAGGTGTCTGAAGAGCAGTTTTGAAGCCTAAAGTGGGCGGAGGCGGCCGTCGCCTTCTTGGCAGCGCGTCACCGCGCGTCACTCCAGGATAATCGAAAATGGGCAAAGAGGCGGGAGCTGGTTGCTGAAACCACGCCCACCTAGCTC